CCTCGACTCACAGTCCCCAAAAGCTAACATTTACCACATTAGCTTGGTCCTCTCTCTTTCTCTACACATGCACACACGCACCCAATTTTGTTTCTAAATCATTTTAAAATTTACAGACACCATGCCCTTTCCTCCTTAATCCTTGCCTGTGTGTTTCCTAAGAACAAGGACGTTCTCTTATATACCCCAGTGCTCTGGTCAAAATCAGGAAATTAACACTGACTTAATACTGTTACCTAATCTCTAGGCCTTTTTCAGATTTCAGCAACTGTGTCAATAATGACCTTTTAGCAAAAAGCGTGTGCATTTTATTTGAGCCATCGTATCTCCTCAGTCTTCTATAATCCAGGATGGCTCCTCGGTCTTTGCGTTTTCTACTATTAAGAGTACAAGGCAGCCGTTTTGCAGAATATCCCTCCATTTGGGCTTGACAGATGTCGCTTCACACTTCCACCACGGTTACGTTCTTTTGGCAGGAAGACCAGAGACGTGGTGCTGAGTTCCCAGCGCATCCCATCAGGGGCACCTGGAGCTGGTTGATCGAAGGCAGTGTTCCCTTTGGTTATCGGTTGCGGGTGCTGTGTGCTTGGTTTCGCCACGGCCCACATACTGTTTGAGCCTGAAGCATGTGCCGGGGAGATGCTGAGACTAGCCATTCTGTTGCCCTCAAACGCATTGGTTCTTGCTGGGGTCATGTACTGTTATGATGGTGATTGTTCTGGTCCCATTATCCCTTGTGTGTGTGTCAGCTGGCTTTCTACTTATAAGGCAGAAATTTCCCTTTTTAAAATTTCTACCCACGAGATTCACAAGTCCTCGTTTTATGCAGTGGGTTATAGTCCTTTGTATCCGTAGTATTTATTTTGATGCTCAGTTGTTCCTGATTGGGCCAGTAGAACCTTTACGAGCTGGTTGCTCTTTCCTTTGCCCCTGTCATTCCTTAGGACCGTCCCTATTCACAGGCAGCCCTGGCAGCTGGGCTGAGCCTTTTACTGTGTCTCTTGAGTCAGATGAAGACTCAGTGTCTCTGCCCAGTGGCAGAAGACTGACTCTCCATGGTCTTCCCACCTCCCCCCACCCTCACCACGTTCCCCCTCATGGAACAGTATTTTCCAGCAAGGACACTGGACTAGTAACTGACAGAGCATTAGTGAGTCCATCCTCAAACACAGGACTGTTTAACTTCAACACAAAACGCAGGGCAGAGTCAACCCCCAACACAGGACTCCGCGGGCGGGCACCTGCGGCGGGCGGACATACCATCCTAATGGTATTTGCTTTCCCCTGTGTAAACCAGGTGATGGTTGCAAAGGATTTGCCCTTTGCTTCTCTGTTGCTTTTTTATACTCCAAAGAGAAAGCAGATTTCGATTCTGCTAAGTAATAAAAGGCACCTGACAACTTAGTTCTTGCCTTCAAGCTAGCTGTTGTCAAAGTTGAGGGGGGAGGAGAAAGCGGGTAGACTGCCTATTTTGAACTCAGTCTTATTTCGAAAGAGCACATCTCCTGGCCCCCCCATTTTCACATGTCACACCGGGCAAAGAATATTCCCTTTTCGCTCCTGGAAATAGGAGAGCTCCTCACTCAAAGCAAGATGTGGATGTGGACGGGACATATGAAAAAAGAAATATATTGGATTTGTTATTAGGAATCTTCATATAAGGAAGGAAACCCTAGATACGGGCAGGCAGGGGTTGGGTGTAAATACATTAGTCCCCACCCTTTCCGTCCGCGTTCACACAGCCTGGGACGCAGTTTCCTCAGTGAGGGAAGGAATGCCGCTGGGGAGGGAAAACCCTGGGCGTGTGAGAGAGAAGGCCAAGCCCTGACCGGGAAGAGGCTGTGTCTGCTGGCCAGAGAGGCTCGGAGCATGGTCCTCAGGTAGGAGACCAGGTCCGGAGGAAACCCATGCGGTGTGCCCCGAAGGCCAGCGGTGGGGGAGAAGCCAAGCTAGAAACTTGTTCTGGAAAGGGGAAACACCATCAAAACATCCTTCACATTCCATGGCTTTGAAGGAAAAATAGAGATTCTGTAGTTTTCCTGGGGGAGGAGGAGGAGAGCCTAAAAGCCACAGGTGACTTGTAAATCCTACAGGGAAGAGGGATGTGGTGGCTCTCCAGTTGGCGTCTTCAGTCTCAGTAGTCATTGCATTTCCGTGTGTGTGGCTCAGAGGCCCAGGCCCCTGCAGCAGGGAGAGGTGGGTGCCAGGCTTCTCCAGGTCGACCTTGGTCAGCCTCTGACACCTGCAAACACAAGGTGTGACTCAAGGCCTGCCCCTCCCTCGAGGTACCTCCTCCGTTTTGTCTTCTCTCTCCCTTCCTGAAAAGCTTCCCTCCTACACCTCTTGAGCTCCCCATCCGAAAATTGACCTCCCAGATATTTTTACAGTGATTAATATTTCACGATGGCTGAGTTATGGACATTGGGGAGGGTATGTACTATGGCGAGTGCTGTGAATTGTGTAAGACTGATGGTTCACAAACCTGTATCCCTGAAACAAGTAATACATTATATGTTAATTTTAAAAAAGCTGAATTACCAATTAAAACCTTTTATGAGATTGTAATTAATTAAAAATTTTCTTAACAAAGGAAAAGAAAATATCTCACCATGGCTTCAAAGACATTATGATGACCCACAGTCGGTCCTCTCTCAAAAATTTCAAAGCCTGGTTTTTCCTTTTTTTTTTTTTCACCACCCATCATCCTAACTAATTGTGTTTTTAAAGAGAGTCCAAGATAAATAAAAGTATTGCAAGTGGGAAGAGGGGCAGGGTTTTGGAGCAGGGTGGGGGAGGGGTGAGGAGGAAGGAATTGGGGCTGATGGAGGGGAGGAGGCGCATGTGGTATTTGTTATCTGTCCTGTGTGTCCAGCTGATATGTGAATGATTAGCAGAAAATAGGCACAAGTGGGAGCAGAGGCTGGGAACAAAATTCCAGGCTCTGGAAATGGGGTCATTGAATTGAGAGCGCTTTGAAGAAGGAAATGCTTGTACACACCGACGACTGCGGAGCTCCCTGTGATCTCTCTCTCTGAGGAACTTTTGTGGCACTTGGGACTTATATCTTTCAGTTGATGCCACAGTTGATAAAAATAGACAGTTTGACCCTTATCCAAAAAACAAGTATTACTTGGTGTTGCGAATGAGTTTGTTCATGTGTGTGTTGTGGCAACTAGATTTTATCTTTCTTTAGTGCAAGGCTTCCATCCTTTTTTTTTTTAAAGATTTTATTTATTTATTTGACAGAGATCACAAGTAGGCAGAGAGGCAGGCAGAGAGAGGGGGGAAGGGAAGCAGGTTCCCCGCTGAGCAGAGAGCCCCATGTGGGGCTCAATCCCAGGGCCCTGGGATCATGTCCTGAGCCGAAGGCAGAGGATTAACCCTCTGAGCCACCCAGGCACCCCCATCCTTTTTTTTTTTTAACGTGCTGTGTCCAAATAGGTCTGAATAAGAAGTATGTGCTTCTTGTGAAAATTAACTCATACACTCTCCAACAATGCTATATGGTAAACATATCACCATTCCCATTTACAGATGGGATAGCTGAGGCCCAATATCGTACAGCCAGTCGGAAGCAGAGCTGGGTTCTGAACCATACACTGCAAGTAAATCTCCCCATCTCCAATCTATGATCCCATCGGCAAAGACTTTTTTTTTTTTTTTTTTTTTTTTTTTTTTTTACATTCACAAGTTCCAGAGATTAGGATAGGCTAACTTTGGGGGGCCACTTTTTCAGCCCTCCATGGGAAGTTGTTTGTGGATTACGTAGGTCCCGTAACCTACCCATCTCTAACCTCTTAAAAAACACCAGTCATGGGGCGCCTGGCAAGCTTACTCAAAGAGCATGCAGCTCTTGATCTCGGGGTTGTGAGTTCGAGCCCCACACTGGGTGTAAAGATTACTAACAACAACAACAACAACAAACTTAAAAAAAAAAAAAAACAACAACAAGAGAGCACAGGTCATTTACCATGTGGGTAAAGGCTTGTGAAGCGGTTGTGAGGGCATCCTGGGAATCCAGCCATGACTAAAAAGAAGACAGAAGGGGCTGGGAGGCAGCAACACAGCCAACAGCGAACCACTTGTCCCTCTTCCTAGAGTGTGTATCTTACAGGGAGGGAGGGACCGGGGCTGTAGATTCTGTTACCGGCCTTTTTAAAGGCTGTAGGTTTTAGAAATGGGAAGTGACTTAGAGGTTCTTCCACACCAATGTTTCGGCTCTTCAGAGACAAGATCAGAACAACAGGATCAGTTCTCCGTGGAGGGAAGATGTGAGTCAGAGGCAAGCATCAAGAAACACGACACTCAGAAAGGGGCAGGTGGGAGATAAAAGCAGCCCAAAGCTGAACCCACCTGCTGCCTGAAGGCCCCCAGGGGCCCGTCCTTGAGCTGTAAGAGCCTGGAGCCCTTGGACCGGAGCCAGGGATGGCCCAGTCATGGGAAAGGCAACACAGGTGCACTCCAGTCTGGGTGAAGCTTGGAATGATGACCGCAGCTCTGACCTCCTTGGGTGTCTGCTGTGGAACACAGCGGTCAACCACCTTACCCAGATGTCCTTAAATGCTGGAGTAGCTAATCCCTCGGTAAGGAATCCTCTCTTCTCTCTTTCACCTCCTGATGCGGACACATTCCCTCATCCCCAGCACAAGGGGGTGAGGGAGGAAATGGTACAGACCTTTTTCAACCCCGCCATTCTCCCCCTAGCATTCTTCAGCCTGTGTTGCCTCCTTTGCCAACGGGAGACGACACAGGTAACTCCCAGGGTTGGTGAAAGGGCCTGGCACAGAGACCGGTGTCCGTAGGTGTTTGAGAGCTCTGAATCCGCGGTTTGGGATAAAGGAAGGGGTTCCTAGAAACCCTGGCCTCCCTGACTCACATGTTATCCTTTTTCCAAAAACTGTGACTCAACGAACTTGGAGTATCTGGGGAAGAGAAAGCAAACATAATTCTTATTCACCTGTCATTCACTGTGTTCTTTCCTTTTTAACTTTCTTTTCCAGATGGTAACACAAAATAATCCAGATGGGGTGCAGGTGCTGTAAAATGATACAAAGGTAAGGTTGAAAACATAACCTGGTAGTGGAGGAATCTGGGATTACCACAGTGGCCCTCTGAAGACCAGACATGGGTTTAGTGCATTTATACCGCTTTGGGGCATGACCAGCATCGCCAAGAAATTATGAGTTTGCAACTGCTTTGATACCATTTAAGGGTACATGTGGCCCCGATTTTTAAACTTACTTTGCTCACCACTCAGAGCGCTTTGGGAACGACATCATCCTCTGAGAGCAAACTTGGTTTAGGTTGAATTTCCAATTCCCCAGAGAGCTTCAGTGCAAAGAGAAGCTTGGGTTTCAGAAATGGTGCCTGAATGAAATGACATCGCTGAACATAAATCACGCCCGTCACATATGTCCAGATTCCATTTCAGAATAACTTGGATCCCATGAGAATTCTACACAAATGAGAGGGAAAACATTAATTAATTTGCTTCCTTCACAAATAACACTTTTTATCATTCTAGTTCTATATCTGTAGCTAAATGGCTGTCTCCCTTTATTCATACGTATGTGTGTGTATAAATTCTATTCTATTGTAGTCACAATATGATGGTAGGCTTTATCCAAAAAACACTATAATAAATATTTATTATAAGTGTCATTCATTCAGTCCAGACTTCATATTTATTATTTTAATGACTGTACAATATTCCATTAAGGGGATGTGCTTAACCCTTTATTCCCCTATTATCGCACATCTGTTTTATTTCCCTGTTTGGTTGTTTTAAGCTCTTTGAATCACTTTGTACTTTGTTGCATGCTCTCTTGGATCTCTTCTTAGGATTGCTTCCGGGTGAGGGGGGTACACGTTTACACCAACTCTATCTAATTGGTTTAGACACACATATAGGCTTAATGGAACAATCCCAGAAATTAACAGGAAGAGTAGAAGGAAGAAGAGCCTGCAGAAAAAGTATTAATGATGGAAGTTAGTCATTCATAAAGGTAGTAATGAAAAAAGTGAATTAGTGTTTGGCCTGACCCTCATTCTTGTCTCTCCCCCCACCCCCCCCCACCCCGCCCCAGCTATCTCTTTGATCCGGCTCAAGTGTCCTCCCCTGGCTATGTCAACGAGGTGAACAGCTGCAAGGTGGATGAAGGTGACACTGGTAAACTGAAAGGCAAAGAGAGCAGCCAAGTCCTCGTGCACAAAAATGAGCTGCAGATCCAGGGCCTGAAGAGGACGTCCAGCAGAGGCCGAGCCTGCGGCGGGCAGGAGACCCATTGGCCTCCTCCAGGACAGCCCCCTCAGGGGGATACGGCAGGGGGACACTGTGCCGGCAAGGCCGGTAGTGCCATCAATGGCATCAGCCCTGCCCTTGCCCCCCTGAAGCCCACTGGAGATCATGGGCCCCACCAGGGAGACAGGGGCTTACTGCCTGCGAACATCGTCGCCCCAACTCACCCCTTCCCAGAAAGAGGAGGCCCGGGACAACAGGACAGTGCGCTGCTGGCCTCTCAAGAGACCCCGGTCGTCCAAAATGGGGACTCCAGAGCTGCTTCCAGGGCGGAAGGTCCTGCATTGGAAGTACTAGACCATGACCTCCAGATCCCGGCCCCAGATTACCCTCCCCTTTGGGGCTCTGTTGTAGACAAAGCTGATCGGGAAGAAAAGGACTGTCTTTCCAAGAGCCAGACTGAGGAGGACCCCCTGGCGGGAACTCACCCCAGGGCAGGGGAGCACGGTTTGAACATGCCCTTCCCCTTGAAGAGAAGTTGGGATTCCTTGAACGAGGCCATGACGACAGACGGCCTAAGCGTCTGCTTTAAAGAGGAGGCTGTTGTTCAGGCCAATTCGAGAACCGAGCGGGAAGATGCACGTGGCTCCCCCGGCGAGCCGGGCGGGGACGTGGAGGATGAGGATGCGGCCGTGGCCGAAGCCCTTGCGGCCTTAGAAGCAGCAACCGCCGGAGAAGACGTGGACATGGACGAGGGAGATTAGGGCCCTGAGCAGGTGGCGCAGTGCGCACGTCGGGTGCGCGTGCTCTGTGGACAGACTGGCGCCCCCCGGCGGCCATACGGGTTATTCGCTCGATATCTGTTCTGATGATCGCTGGGGGGCCTGCGCGCGGGCGCTTGTTGTTCAGTACCGACCGCCCCGTGGTGCCGACGGGCCGTCACTCAGGGCTCTGGAATAAAATCAGAGTGGGCGGTGCGGGACTGCCCACAGCTCATGCAGGAATTAAACGGCCTGCTTGTCCACCCACGGATCGATGTTCTTCAGAATGCTCTGAAATCCCAGCGCTTAATCCCCTCCCCCTCCCCACCCACCAAGGGCGCAGAATCACAGAACATTCTGTCTGTAAATTCTTTGTCTTGCTTTTGCGAGCCAGACATTGTACCCAACCTGGAAAAGGTAGCTACCCCCACTGAAAGTGCCTAGTGTGTCCCCAGAGCATGGCTTGCCTTCAGGGACAGTCACCCAGGGAACTAATCACTAACCACTTGTTTGACATCGAGTTGAGCTCGGCAGCCTTCAGAATGGAGAAGAAGCCACCAGTAAGCAAATGGTTAGTCATTAGCTGCGATATTAAGACACCTTGACCTTAACTTTTTTACGTTATTTTTAATCTCCTCTGGGACTCGGGGAAGCCGGCCAAAATAATTCTGCAAACCGCTTGTGCTGTATTTGAGTTTTAAGTTCATGAGGTTGGGAAGAGCCAAGAGATAGACGTTTTATGCCACTTAATGTCTGATTCTGTTTAAAATATAACAACATATGCATCTGTCTGTTGTAACTCAAAGGTAGTTCTGATTTCCCCAGACCGAGTGTCAGTAAATCTTGGTGTTTCTTTCCATTTGGAGAGCCGCACTGCGGAGTGGCAAGTGAGGAGAACCAGTCCGTTTGCTGAGGATGGCTTCGGCTGTCTGTCCCTGCCATTCAGACTCATGACACCACATGCTCTGATCTTACCGAAGGATGAACCACAGCCCTCTCTGGGTGCCAGTCTTCTAATTTATAAAAACAAGAACTGCCTTTGCGACATGACTCAGTGTAGAATTTAGAGGATGGTCCAGTCTCTCTAGAAAAATATGAACACGGAAGATGCCAGCATATGGCATTTCATAACACAGGCTCTGAAATGTGGCTGACTTCGGTTTGCTTTCCAGCTTTGCCACATGACCTTGGGCAAATAACTTATCCCTTCTATTTGCCCATCCATTACATGAGAATAATAGTATATATTTGTAAGGATTAAATGAGATTGTGCAAGTATTTATCATGGTGCCTGGCACACAGTAGGCACTCAATAAAAAGCTAAATCTTATCAGTGAGAAACAAATCCTTGAAAAATGGTTTTATGTCCTCACACCTGAAAACTCTAATACTGTCAAGTGTCTATAATGTCATCACTGTGCTTTGGTGATCCTTTAAATAATAAAAACTTGATTTCTCAGCTTCCCAGTATCTTTAAGGATGGCGGATGCTTACTGATGCTTACCAGACGTACCTTACCCTGGGTTGGTTTGGTGGCATACCGTCTCTGCATACAGGGTCACACCGAGTGCTTAAAACATAAGCTGTTGTCATTGTGAATTGCATCATAGGTGGATTTGCTGTTGTACTAAGTGCACTGAGTGCTTCCTGTTTGAGATCCCTTCAACAGTTTCCCAAAGTGTATCTGTTGGGATTAGGTTCAGCTGCATGTGTTAAGTGGCTTATATAAAAATAGAGATGTATTTACCTCTTCATGTAAACAAAGTCCATAGTTAGCAGTCCAGGGTGCTGGAGTTCCATCCCATCAGCAACCTGTGCTCCCATCATCTTGGTTTCCTTCGCAAGGTTACTGTGTCTTCCAATCCTTGGGTGTTCTTTCCATGCAGGAAAAAGAAGGAAGGGAATCACCCTCCCTTCCATTTATACCTCCTTGGTCAACATCTAGTCACATGGTCACACTGAGCCACAAGAAAGGCTAAGAAAGCTTATTTTTCTCTCTGGCTGGATTTTCCAATTAAATTCGGGATTCGCTTACTGAGAAGAGGGAGAAGAGACATTGAACGTTGAGGCAGTGAGCTTGCTCTGTCTGCCACATCAGGTCCTCAGAATGCAAGAGCCATGGAGAGAGCCAGTTTGCAAGAGGTATTCACAGTTGACATATCAGAAGGGCATTGAATTTTCGGTCCAGTGGAAGGAGGACTGGACCGTGACAGGCATCCTGACTTCCCGCTGCTGTCTCAACAACAGGAGGGTGAAAGAAGACAATTCAGACGGAAGAGGGGTAGGGTGAGGAATGAGTGCAGACAGTCCATTTGGCTTGCGTAGAAACACACTTCTGCACTTGGCATGTGTACATAATTTCCCATTTTGAGACTGCCACAGATATTTCACCATGTTAACGTTTCACCTGAGTTTTAAAGATTCTTTTTGTGCAAATAACTGCTTCAGAAATGTTAGCAGATGACCAAGATTTTCGAGTGTTTTTTTGTTTTTTAAAGCTATCATGGCACCCTTTGTCTACCCCATTATCCAGGCTGTACCAAAGGATGTCCGAGGATAGAATCTTCAGGTTGAAAAGAAATTCCAGATGTTACCTTTATCCACCAGGTTGCCTAGCAACTGACTAGCATCCCACTCTGTGTTCCTTCTGGAGCCTGGTGCCACCCCATATCAGAAAAGTGGTTGATTGGCAATAGTGAACTTTTCAAATATTCTGGACAACTTGAAAGCACGGACACACTCTGAACAGAAGGCACAGGCTCTGATTAGGAGGGGACATCCTGGTCTTTCGTGATCTAAGCAAATTGTGTCATGTGACTATTTGCCACGTTAAATCTTGATTTTGATACAAGATTATTTCTATATTGTGTGCGTGTGTGCACATGCGTGTGTGTCTACATTTTTTACTGGGGGAAGTTGAACTATCATATAAATAAGAAAGTTTATTTTCTCTGGTTTCTCTGGTTTCCAAGGCAGATATTAGCAAACTGTCGTAACTGTCAAACCAGATCTTTAGAGGAATGAGGAGAATCTGAGGCTGCTTAGCACACGCCCGTTTTGCCCATGCTTAGTAACTGCTGGCCAGTCACCGACTCCCCGTCTTGGCTTCACTCTGCTTCTGACCCAAAGAGTCGGACTGTCTCTTCCTAAGTCTTCCATCAGCATCTCCAAGCGGGAGGCCCTCGGAAGAATGAAGGAGGCACAAAATCAAGCATCTGAGCTTCATTCTGAGGTCACAGGAATGAGGTCTTCAGTCTTCATAAAATGAACTTTTATGATGAAAATGTGGAGATCTTTGCACGCTCTCTCTCTCTCTCTTAAACTCCAGAGTAAACCTCAGTTATTCTGAAACCTTCTATTTTGGAACGGGTGATAATTAAACAGAGACAAGCTGACATTTGTTTCTCCTGGTAAATGCTTTCCCTGTTCATGTATGGGAAAAATAAGTTGCATGTTGATTGAACTGAATTGGTGAGTTCCTCTGATGCAGGAGGTTAGAGTAGACAGCTATAATACGTCTGACCGTCAAGGCTCCCTCGGCCACTTGAAAAAACAACCCTTTAGACACCCCTGTTAAATCTGCTGATTACGGATGATTCTTTCTTTTTTTAAAGATTTTATTTATTTATTTAACAGAGACAGGGCAGGAACATAAGCAGGGGGAGTGGGAGAGGGAAAGCAGGCTTCCTCCCCACCCCAGCAGGGAGCCCAATGCTGGGCTCCATTCCAGGACTCTGAGATCAAGACCTGAGCAGAAGGCAGACACTTAATTGACTGAACCATTCAGGCACCCTTGAACTCAACCTTTAAAATCCTGAGGGAGAAAGAAAGAGAGGATGTGTGTTTGTGTAATGGAACTCCGATGTCCACTGGGGGTTGGCTCTTCACTTAGCGCCTGCAGCTACGACTCCTGGGCTCCGGGTCTCGGGTTACCAGCATGTGGCATGTGCCAAGCACTTACGCATGCTCCTCTGTAATTCGAAGAAATGGTGGAAGCAGTCTGTGCCTCTTGTTCACTGTGTGACCTTGAGTTTGCATTTCTTAACATTCTTGACCGTCACTTTCCCCACCTGTAAAATGGAGATCCTTCCCACCTCCCACACCAAAAGCAGACGTTCTCCAATTTCAGGACGCTTGTTTCCAAACAGATTTCTGGGCCTCACCTCCCAGAGATTCGGGTTCTGTAGGTCTTGGGCAGGGACCTGGCATCTACCTGGTTGATGTGGGTAATTCTCCAGTTACCAGTAAGAAAACTGTGTGCTCTTACTTCTAATAGAAGCACAGTTAAAATCGCACATACTGTCCTCTTGCAATATGTCGTATACCTGACAAACCAATATTAAGATAGGTTAGGCCAATATCGAAGTTTTAATATTTTCTTCCCAGACCCCTTGGTTCTGTGAAAGCTACTTTGAAAAACCAGTGACTTAGAAGCTCAAATGAACTATCTATAAAAGCACTTTGTAAATAGACAAAACTGGAGTAATGGTTTTGACAACATACACGCGAACCATATACACTTAAAATGCACACTTAGCCGTACGCAAGCCAACGTGAAAACGTCCACCCCAATACCACTCATTCTCATCCTTTGAGCCTGGTTTTTAGGAAACTTCTGTATTTTCTGCTTTTAAGCATTTTGGAGTAGTTAATATAAAACCGGAGTAAAATATAACCTAGAGACCAGAAGGTGAACAAAGAATTTTATGTATCTTCCTAATCAAAACTATATTTTCCCAACCAATCTGAGCAAGACAGTTCAGCGACAGGCTGATGGGAATATTTGTGTGGTCAGGATCTCGCTAGTTTGAAAGCAAAACCGTAAGATTTTCTCTTGATATCAGTCACCAACTTAAAAAAAAAATCACAAAAATAATTTCATTTCCAAATCCTACTTGTCATTTTCCAGAATACTCCTAAAGCTACAGAGAATGGTGCATGGAAACTTTGGTACTCATATAAAGAAGGACAATTTCACAGGTCAAAAAGAGGGTTAATGGTCTCTTCGCATTAATAAATGTGCTTTCCTGGTCTTAAATATCGACGCTTAGAAAGGAATCAGAAGTTTTAA